TGGGGGTGGAGATGAGTAGATGTGGCAGATAACTATTCATCTCCCTGCTGGACAGACTTGTTAGCCTGCTGTGTGAGAGAAACTTTTTGCCGGGGCTGCTGGCACTCCCCATTAAGGAATCATTGCTTCAACAACGTACCTGGACGTACCAGTCGTAACCCACCACTGCTGCAAATAGCCAGTATTTTGAATTTGTTGAATGATCAACCTCTAATTCCATTTTTGAATGGTGTTTTTTACTCAAAATCTTTGGGAAATCTTAGCATTCTTCTAACCCTGCTAATACTTTTCTTGACAGATGGTTAGTTGGCTGTATAAGGACAATCACCCATGAAATCAGTTCATTTTTCATATATACACTAGGCCCAATCTCTTCATTTAGAAATGCAAGGGAGTCCCTTCGATGAACAAATCACCCCAATAATTTAGCTTTCTAATTCCTCAGCCATGATGCCAAGCCAAGGAAGCTATGTTTGTGTTACTGCTGACAGTCCTGCAGTGCATTGACTGTGTTAAACCCATTTAGAGAGCTTGCGTGTTAAGATTTTGCTGTTTAAGCAAAAATATTTGATATAGGATCGCCTGCCATGGACAGGAGCTTGGACGAGAATAACTTCAGTGTCACTTCCCACTCTATTATTCTATGTTCTATGTAAATATGCCACATATTCATTAAAACACACACTTAATTTGTGAAGACTTAGTGCTTTGGAGAAGACTCAAAGACTGAGCAAGATGGAGGAAAAGAGAAAGAGAACAACCACCAGCAAATTAGATGGATTCACTTCCAGGGTCAATAAGTTTTGGAAGACCCGAAGATCCAGATTAGGGACAGGTTGTCATGGAGAAATCTATCTCTGACACTGGAGTTGAAAATGACATGATAACACATAATCAATTAGCGGAAATAAAAAAAAATGAGTCTCTTTATGGAAAATAGTAGTAAGAATATTAATGGTTTTTACAAACAATTTTCTGTTTTCTTTGGCTTCTACTTTTCCCAAATATTTTCTTCCTTTTTTAAAAGCACAGGTTTTTTTTTTCTCCCCACAAATTCTGATCATTTCCTAAAGTTCAAGTTTCCTTACCAGTAAAAGCCACTTAGTTAAATGTAACCTTCCAGAAACAATGTTTTGAAAACTGAACCTAGGTTATAAAAGCACACTTTTTGTGGCTGCCAAGTACTCCCCTCCCCCCAAGGTGGCTGTTTTAAGAGTAAATAGTGAACTTTAAAAATAACTTTAAAGTTTGTTTTTTACACCAAAATGCAGTTGAACCACATTATACATTCCCCACCATTCACTGATGAGAACCATTTCATGGTCTTTTCCTATGAAAATCCAGATCTTGGTGGGAATCATATGGCATCATTAACTTCAGGGATTAATACCAATTTGCCTATATTAACATTTACATAATAAATAGATTAACATAGTAACCCTAAACACATTTATTCAGAATTAAATCCAGCTGTATTCAGGGGGTTTCTGTCCCAACTCCATGTTAGGATTGCAATTGTGCTCTTAATCAGGATTATAAGAGGGGTTTGCTGAAGTGATAAAGAAAAGGCAAAGAAACATTTTACTTCTCTAACACTGAGAACAATCTTATCATGATTTTCTCTATCACAGAATTTGTCATATGGTGGATACGCTTTTACCACATGTTGAATTTTAAAGCTGAAGAATTTATTTGAATTGATCATTGAACTGTAAGAATATCACGTCAGAGTAATATTTGTGGTCAGTGATTACCTTATGTGGTAATGCTGGTTAGGTTCAGTTGGGACAGAGTTTGTTTGGAAGCTGCCCAGAGTTTAACATAACATGGGCAGTTATGTAAATATCTTAAATAAATAAATACTGCCTTAAAAATTCAACAGGAATTGAACTTCTATGCAAAAAAAAATATTAAATTAAATCTCTGCTTATTTTAGGTGTGTACAATTCCGCACAATTCAATAGTATTACCTTACCAGCAAAGTGG